GGAAGGTTTCTTATCCTCAAGTCAGGAGAGTCAATAGGAAAACTGAAAATAATATGAACATCCGTGTTCTTTACCCAATAGTATAAATACTTCGTGAAGGCAAACAATAGCTGTTACACGTTTAGTTTCGCAAAAGACTCGTAAACCCAGTGGAATAATTTAATATGCGCATAATATGTAATTAGAAAGCGCTGCTAAATGTTACCAGACGGAAAGTTTGACATAAGAGTATACTTAAAGTAAGCATTAACTGTATTTTAAGTAAGAATAAGAATAGTCAAATTAAGCAAAATTAAAGAAAATTGCATATAGCCTAATAGAAGTAAAAATATCTAAATCTTAAAAGATCAAAATGACACAAGTAAAGAATTAGCTGTTAACAAGAAGCTAGATATTTACCATTTTCTCATGGCCCCGCCAACTTCCTTATTTCTTGACCACAGCTGACGTCTCACCGTAGCTGGCTGCGTTAAGATTGAAGATAATAAAGTCGGGACGGAAGTACATGTCGATACCTCGGAACCAGGCAAATAGGCAGTGGATGATAGCGAAGGCGAAGCTTGCATTGCGGAAGAAGCTACGCTATTGATATTGACTGAGTGAGAGACTGATACGAAATTGGGGGCCGCAGTAGAAGAAGTAAAATGCCTGATGGAGTTTTCAGAGACATTACAATTCTGAATATTGGTGGAGTCAATATGATAAGCATCAGAAGTAACTTGTTGAGAAGTCGAATGGATAGTGTGCAATTTTTTTTTACCACCAAAACAGGCAATATCAGAAGGGTTAACGGGAAGAGATGTCTCACCGATCAACTGACTGGTGACCACAAGTGATGAATTGGTAACCATTTGGGAGTCTGAACTGAGAAGAGGCGATGGTAAAGTCTTTGCGCCTACAATCACGGAAGTAGAAGAAAGAGATTGCTTTTGATGTACAGTGTCCTTAAATAGGGAGCTGTCGAGATCGGCGTCGACTTTTGATTGTGTATAGTTGAGCTGAGATACTTCATGTTGATTTGACCAACTAGTGTAGTATGAAGTGGGTCTAGTCAGGGTTAGTAACCGAAAGCTAGTGCCCAGACGCCAGTTTACTAGGCTGGAGAGACGAGATGAGTATCGGTTTGAGACGGTACCAGTATTATTCGCATCATCATTTTTGCATGACTGGCAACTTACGGCAAAAGTAGTTGGAACAAAAGGAGTAAGTTTTCGAGTGCCAAATGAGAGCTGAGTGAAAAGAAAGAGGTAAAAGAAGGAAAATGTGGATAAGTATAGTTAGGAAAATAAAATTGAAAGGGGCGACAATTATCAAGCGTAGGCAATAAAGGCATTATTTCGAAATATAAATTGACCAAATGTGTCTTTGAAAATAATAACGTCGAGCTAGATTTTGATATAATATTGAATTTAGTAAATTCCATATGGAAGTTCAATAAAAGGAAGAATCAAAGCGAGAAATTAGCCCTAAAGATACATGCACGTTTTTGTATCAATACTTTGCTACCGCAAAATAGGCAGACGAGATAAATGAAAATTAATTAAAGTCGTATAGAATATATGAAGACCAAAATGGTGTAGCCTTTGTTATGGTCGCAGTCTCCTTTCGATTTATAGAAGTGGGTTGACCTCGCTGTCGCAACTTGGTCTTGTTATCAGGGCGACTATGTAGAACGCACCTAGTCCAAAGTCGTCTGCCATAGCAATTGTCTTGATTCCCAGCATCTAACAGTGGACTTGATAGATTTTCAAAACGTTTCGCCGGCTTCTAGTCGGCATCATCAGTGAGTTTTGCCATTCGCCGCACCAAGCTACGAACTCGTCAAAGAGACAAGTGAAATCAATGCCTCCACAAGTGGTCCTGCCGAAAACGGTTACACTATCACTCCTCTTTCTGTCCTGGCCTATCTATCTACTCTTTTCCCTCTTATCCTACTGCCACCCTATCACAACTTCAAACTTGTTTACATTCCACTCGTCAAAATATGTGCCCTTTTGTGGCAAATCTAGTGTGGCCACATCACACTTGCTATTTACCCCGACCCCTCTCTTTCTATCGGCTTATCCAACTCGGGCCTCCAATCCGGATCCATTCATTGTCGCGTGGATCTGTTCTTTATCTTTCTGGTTGCCACAAAGGGCACACATTTTGACGAGTGGAATGCAAACAAGTGAGAAGTTGTGATAGGGCGGCAGTGGGATTAGAGGGTAAAGAGTAGATGGATAGGCAATGACAGAAAGAGGAGTGATAGTGTAACCGTTTTCGGCAGAACGTTTGTCGAGGGATTGACTTCGCTTGTCTATTTGACGAGTTCGTAGCTTAGTGCGGCGAATCGCAAAACTCACTGATGATGCCGACTAGAAGCCGACGAAACGTTTGAGAATCTATCAAGTCCACTGTTAGATGCTGGGAATCAAGACAATTGCTATGGCAGAAGACTTCGGACTAGGTGCGTTCTACATAGTCGCCCTGACAACAAGGTCAACCCACTTCTATAAAGGCGTATAGTCTATTAGTGTGTCTGTAATAGAGGGACCAATTGATAATAATTGTATACCTGAGAAAATTTGCTAAGAAAAATTCAAATACAGTAGTAATTAGCTTCAGAAAAAGTGTTTTTGATAGAAATAATGGTAATTTTTAATGAATCCAGATAGACTTTTCCCACATATATGGAAGAATAGTCTTTTTAGAATAATAATACTCAAATATTTAAATGTTGCTATTTGAATCTCCTTAAATCCATGATAGTTTAATTAATTATATAATAAATAAAATATTAATGCAGCTTAAAGTAAAAACATATGAGAATATCACATTTTTGCTTATTATTTACTAAACTTTCCTCCGAATGTAGCAGAAATTATTTTTAACTAAGTGTTGTTCGTTTGACATAGCAAAGGAGTAATGTTATAACTTTGTAAGAATATCGGTCTTCAAAAATTGATATAAATATATGACAAACATTTGATTTGGCAGTTAATTATTAATAGAGAATAAGAAACATCGACGAGCCAAATAATTCATATAAAAAATATATCAACAATGTCGTGACTTGTGAGAAATTTAATTAAACATACATTACCAACACTAATTGCAAATGAAGGGATATGATGAATGAGGAGAACAACAACAACTCTAGGCCGATACACCTATATAAAGACATGCAAGAAATTTGATCAAACTCTTTGACGAGTCAAATAAAATGGATTGCAATTAATGATAAAGCAGTTAATAGGTAAATAATTATGGATTATTAATGCAGCTCATGATCCATATATGGGAAGATATAAAATAAAAAGCAGTCAAAATATACTCAATCGGTTATGCCTTCTTGTACATCAGGAGCCAGCTATAATGAGATTATGTTCTCCTAAAGTCGACCTTATGCCGGTGAGACCTGTCGACCTGCCCAGCAAATATTAGCGGAGAACAAAAACGCTTGTATAGACAGCTGGGTAGAATGGTCATAAGTGACTGAACAGAGGGCAGACTGGACGCGATAGATAGAATGATCTCGGACACAGGCTTGCTGAATATGTTACGTATGCTACGAAACGCAAGATAAGAAAGGCTATTAAATTAGTAGATTATGAAATACATTGAATGTGAGGAATAGTGGTAGAAAGTTGAGTAAATTTACTTTCTTAAGTAGACTGATCTTGTTTTTGCAACTTGGTCGTCAGGGGCACCTTGTCTAAGGTTATCTGCTATAGAAGTTA